TGATTGTTTAGAATTTTGCAAATAATCTTCTAATTGTTGGGCACAAGAACGATTTTTGTGAATCTTTAATAGTAAACTTTGTCGTGACTTTCTTTCCATTCATAACCTGCAGCAGTTTTTGAGTGGGCACAAAATATCCGTGAAGAGCCCGCGAAGTTGCTGCATCACTAGCTGGAGTTATAATAATAAATTCAATTATTCAGTCTCAACTTCAATAAATTGGAATTCGTAGTATTAATAAACGCGCTATCAAGTCACTAAAAGACGTTTATACATTTTCCATTGTATTGATGCAAATTTCATTACGACAATAAAATTAGTGTCAATAAACGTCCTTTATTAATTTTACGAACAACATTTCTTTGAGTGTACATACAAGCAGTGGCTGGTAACGCTATCAATTTCATCTAGTTTTCGTGATAGTGCTAGCGGTAGGTCCAAAAGCTAGAATTAATATTTGCATTACTATTAGAACTAACACCATACCTAGGACTAGAAACATTCGGGTTCAACCATGCTTCTTTTAAAACGGCTAAATCCGCATGTTTCTAGTTTTAGTTGTTATTTACTGCTAGATTGTTGCATGTTTTTCTTGAACTAAAAGTAGAACTAACACTAGACCTAGAACTAGAACTAGAAACATTCAGGTTTAGCCATACATCTCTTAAGAAGGCTAAACCTAAATGTTTCTAGTTGTAGGTCTAGTGTTAGTTCTTGATTTAGTTGTCATTCAGCGTTAAATTGAATAACTTTCTTAGATTTTCTTAGATTCGCTTTGTACATTGCGCATTTTGTTTGCTTTCTGCAGAAATTCTTCGTAAGTAAAATTCCCTATTGAGGTTTTCCTTGTAGACATGGTGTACCAATATTTTTGGATTAGAACAGACTCTTCCTGCAAATATGCTTGGGCAATATTAAGTCTAATGTCCAATAACAGCTATCGTTTAGCTACGTTGTTTAGACTTATCGTGATCTTTTTTCATGAGTTTTAGTTGTAATTGTTATTCAGCACTACATTGTTCTATATTTTTATTGAACTTAAAGTAGAACTAACACTAGACTTAGAATTATAAACTTTCTGGTTCAGCCGTGCATCTCTTAAAACGGCTAAACTCGAATGTTTCTAGTTCTAGATGTAGCGTTAGTTCTAGTTTTAGATATTAAAAATAAAACTAACTAATAAAGAACACAACGGTATGGATAGCAGTTCGAATTTGTATGCATTAAAATTATTCATTCAAATAGTTTAATGTGCAAATCAAAAATTTTGGCTATAATGAACACTCTATTCTTCGTATAAATCCGTTATATCGAGCTTTCACTGTATTTGTATTGGTTGATAATGTTACGTGAATTATAATTGAATAAATTTTAAAAGTTTATATTAAAATAAAATGTGTACACGTCAGATTTAACATTACAGAATGTAAATTTTTGTAAAAAAATGTGAAGCGTGTCGTAATTTTGGTTGGCATTAAATGCAAAGCTTGGCGTGGGGGATCCCAACGCAATAAAAATTTGTTAAAATTGTCGAGCCAAGCGAAAAATGCGGCGGGTCCATATATCTCAATTAGGGCGAGCATAATGACCGGTCTTGTCGCTTTTATTCAACTATTTATGGGAACGATTCCTCGGTGAAATGACCCGTGCCTAAATCCCCACCCTACTATACGTATAGGGAGGAGGGAAATTTAATAACGGCCCGGCACTCGACAAAATAAATTTTTGCGCCTGCAGAGTTTTTCCCCGAGCAAGTTCGCGCCCGGTTCTAGAATCGGAAAAACATAAATTTTTATGGGGCATTTGCTAAGAAAATTGTTCCGATTCCTCAGGCCGGGAAACCGGCTATTTTTGGAATGGTAATGCAACAACGGTCACTCCGTTCCCGCGTTAGTTAGGTCGTTTCGGATCGATTTTCTCGCGACTAAAGCACCATCAACTTTTCGTTCACCCACCGAAACGGGAATTAATTAAACTCCGTTTCGAACGAAAATAACCTCACGAAATTTCGGAGACAGAGGATTTGTAGCTTCTTCTTTATAGCCCCATTCGTTGACATGTGCTCGAAACTTCTAGCGTGTCTTATATTCACCTCGTAGAAGGATTTATGGTGAACTCTATTAGTGTTCGCCCGTTTACTTTGATCAGATTTGGTAATTATTCCAAAATGAGCTTGTGAAAGTAACGTTCTTTGATGTTTCTTTTATGCTAGAATACGCAGTCTCTGACATGCGCAATAGAAATGACGGTTCTACATACGTGTAAAAAAAAATAATTTTCAAACCTACAACTTCAAATACGAACGTAACAAAAACGCATGTTTCGTGATTGAACTGCAGGTGACAAGAACCTGATTGAGAAATTCGAGAGTGACATATCGCGACAATCTCATAACCTGTCACGCGGCGTATTAGTAGACGCGAAGCTGGTGGTGGCGCCGCCTCCGTCGGGTCGCGGGGACGCCCGGAACTACCTTCCGGCTTCCTTTGCCGAGCGCTTACCGGTGCGCTTCGCTTGCCAATCTAGGCGTAATGTGCACACACGGCGAGAATATATACGCGTTTCAGACCTGATGCTGGGTTCCTGTTGGGGTCTCTTCCCGGGATCGGCGTCTTTGGCTTCGATAAGCAATCTTTGGCGGCGCGACTTCCCCTTTGATTAGGCTAGCTCGAACGCTGGCTGGGTGATTAATTGTTCGGCTAAACAGTCTGCGCGACTACTCTGTGAAGACGATGCCGTAATGAGTGTTTTTGTCGATCACGGACCTTAATCGAATATCGATGATGTTCGATCGCGTTAACTTAGGGGCTTCTATTAGGTGCCGCGTTCACCAACTTTAACTCACTTTTTTATTAACGTTGAAATACCAAGTTTAATTTCTTTTCGAAATTACAAGTATCTTATTTCTCTAATCTAACTTCGAACATGCTTAAAAAGATGGACTTTTTGCAAAACTATTAATCATTTTTAACTTTAAAGATTACACAGAGTAGAACAAAAGTATAGAAACACCTTATACAGGTTGATTTATTAGCTCACCATCAAACTTTGACATATGATAACTAATCCAATTACCAAAAAAAATGTTAATGAACATATGTCCCAGTTCAATTATTTACGAAATTATAACACTTTAAAGTTTTAATTTTTATATCATAATTAACTGCAAACACATAAATATTACAAATATTGTTCAAAATAACCTAGAATACATGTTTCACAGAGAAGAAATAAAGAGTTCTTCAGTCGAATTAAAATGTCTGCTTGATTTCTTATTTCGAGATGAGGTGGGGCACCATCGTGCTGGTACCACATATTTTGAATTACATTAAGAGGTATATCTTCAAGTAAATCAAAATGTGTATTGTTCAAAAGGAATCTGTAATTTACAGCGTTCAAACGTCTATCAAGTATATGCAAACATAGTAAATTGTTGTTAAATATTCGACCCCAAACGTTGATGCTGAAACGATGTTGAAATTTCCTTGGTCTAATCGCATGCGGATTTTGTAATGCCCAGATATGTTCATTATGGGAATTATTTATAGCATCTCGTGTAAAACATGATTCATCTGCCCAGAGAACATTTGAAATGAAGTCATTATTTTGGGCATGTTGCTGCAATAACCATTCACAAAATGCTAACCGTTGCTGATTATCTCCTGGCTGTAGAGCTTCAACATTCTGTTTAGCATACAAAATTTTGACTTACATATGAAGGGTACAGGGAATAAACAGGCTAAGTCAATTTTTGTTGAAATCGTGTTAACAACACAGTCTGGTAAAATTAAAGCGAACCTTTTCGTCAATGTTCATAAAAAGGGAAAAAGACGGTTAGGTCAAGAGAAAACACAGAACTTAAATTTGGTGAAGAGGGAATATACAGGCTAAGTCGCAGCGTCAACTACCTGTTTTTGCTAACTCAGGGGAGTTGATGAAAATTGGCTTTTTTGCGCTAACAATAATATCAAAGAAGCTTCGAATTCCTAGTGTGAGTCGCAGTTTGTTTCTGTTGGTTTCTGTCAGTAAAGTGTTGTGTGGTGTTGTGCAAATAATGCAAGACGAAACTAAAGAATCAACGAATGGTCAGAGTACCAAAAAACGGAAAAAGTTTGGACGGCTACACGAAGTTCCAAAAAACTTAGGCTACAAAGCCACGAAATGGGTCCGGACTGTAAATGTCGTAAAAAGTGTTTCGAAACCTTGAAGGAACAAGTACGTAAAGAAATTCTACGCCAATTTAACTTGCTACTAACAGAAGATGAACAGAATTTATATTTGTGCGGTTTAATTTCCCTCGTACCAGTAGCAACTCGACGACCACGTCAACCTGAAGAATCCGCGAAACTTCGTGATGCTACATTTTTCTACAGAATTCGTGCAAAAATAAATGATCGTATTGAAGAAGTATCTGTTTGCAGGACGGCTTTTATGTCAATTCACGGAATTACTAAGTCAAAAATCGAACATCTCGTTCGTAGTTTAAAAATGACTGGCATAGCTCCAAAGAATAAAAGAGGTAAGCATAACACACGTCCAAGAAAATTAAGTCCGGAAGTTCCAAATATCATTCACGATCACATAAAAAGCTTTCCGAATAGATCATCTCACTATGGCTTACGGGATTCTTCAAAAATTTACCTATCTGAAGACTTGAATATGAAAAAAATGCATAAATTATTTGAGGAAGTGCATCCACAAGTAAAGATATCGTATGAAACTTACAGAACAGTTCTAGAAAGGGATTTTAACATCTCGTTTGGATATCCAAGAACAGATACATGCAGTACTTGCGATCAATTTATGGCGAAGAAAAGGGTACTCCTCGCTGAGAAACTAAATAAACGAGACAATGAAACGAAAAAGATAGAAAGATTAATTGAGAAGATTGAGCTGGAAAATACTGTTCACAAAAGCCAAGCAGAACAGATTTACATTCGGAAAAAAGCTTCTAAATTAGAATCCAAAAAGTCATACACATACACATTTTAGGAAATTCTCAAAGCGTGTTTTATGTTTATCCTGAGTTTGTGGGAAAAAAAGGTAGTGACGATGTCGCTTCGTTAATTCACCACTTTATGTACAACTTCCTCGACGAGAAAGTTAAGTCCTTATACTTATTCTGCGATTCGTGTCCGGGTCAGAATAAAAATTTTACAATTTTTCGTTTCCTGCATCATCTGGTTAACATAGAAAAACGGCTAGACTTTATTAAAGTTATATTTCCAATTCGGGGACATTCATATTTGGAATGCGACAAGAATTTCGGCTTGGTAAATCAAAAAACCAAAGTAGAACATCCTAAGGAATGGATTGCAGCTTTTGAAAATGCTAGATCCAAACCAAACCCATTTATCGTTTTGGATGTTACACAGGATTATTTTCGAGGGTGGACGAAGCATTTCGATACAATATACAAAAAGAAATGCCCCATTCTGTCCCGTCCTATTAAGGAAATAAAGGTGGAAAAAGAGCATCCACATCTACTATATTACCGCACTTCATATAACGGTGCATGGGAAAATTTTGTTATTACCAGCCCCAAGTCTCGAAAAACAAAGCTAAATAACAACGAATTTGAGCTTCCGGAGTGTTGCTATAGAGGTATGTTTAGTATAATGTTACGCTAAATATTACTCTATATTTACGAAAAATTTCAGATTTAATACAGATTTCCAAAGAGAAATTCCAAGATTTACAGCATCTAGCCCAGTTTTGTGGACCTGAGGCAGCAAACTTTTATTCGTCAATACCCCATAAATGAATGTTTTCTTGTTTCATTATTTAATAAAATATTATAAAACTGTTGACGCTCGGACTAAGCTGTTTTATTCCCAGCTTTTGGTGGTGTTACTGAGTAATTTTGAGTATTATCAACGTTATGCAACCGCAATCAAATTTGCCGTTATATTTTACCGTAGTATCAAGAGCTACATTTCCTTTAATGATGCTCAAACATTAAAATTACTTTTACAGGCGAACTTATACAGTCTGAAACTTTTAACACGATTTCCTAGATTATTTTGTATTTTGACTTAGCTCATTTATTCCCTGTACCCTTCATATATGTTGTGTGCTATTCTTCGAGTGCTGATGGAAAGATTATCAATGACAGCATTAATCACTGCTTCTTCGCCCTCTACATTAACTACATGCCGTCGAATAGCTTTTGCTGGAGCAGGATTACCTGTTTCTCGAAGTCTTCTGAAAGAATCGCTAAGAACTGAATAATATGGAAAATCACGCTATGGAAATCTTTCTTGATATTCTTGTACTGGTTGTCGAGCACTTCCATTGCAAAAACCATACACGAATATTATATCAGCATACTCTTCAGCGTACAAGCGTACATTTTGAGTTTCCTCTAATAATTAAACCTTACAGAAAACTGACATATTACAATGACATCTTTGTTTAGTGACTATTAATAAATTCGCTGCAGAAAACTTTAGTGTTATAATTTCGTAAATAATTGAAGTAGGACATACATTTTTTTTTTGGTAATTGGATTAGCTATCATATGTCAAAGTTTGATGGTGAGCTAATAAATCACCCAAAGCTCTACATAAACATGATGTTGCCGATCTTATGGGTTTTTGTTTTGTATCTTATTTCAGAAAAATTTAATTCTTTTATTTTAATGTTATTGAATGATGTTTTAGTAGTCAGATTTTTTTAAAAGTTTTCGTTAAAGCTATGTTACCTAGCTATAGAGATTATTGGAGCTTAAGTCCTGACCTGCATGATAGTTATATTAGCCAATTCATGCCAGTGAATCGATTTAGTTGGCTACTAGGCCACATTTGAATGACAATACTCTTCTCCCAAATCGAAATTCACCTGACTTCGACAAATTATACATATTACGTCCGTTTCTAAATGACTTGCACAATTTTCAACAATGTTTGAAGGTGAAAGGCAATATAAAACAATATATGCAAAAAAAACTATAAAAAGAAGCTGCAATGTTTGGGCATTAGCAGATAAAAATGGTTATCTTTTTAATTTTGAAATTTATACCTGTAAAAAAGGCAACGTTGTGGAAAAGGATTTAGGTCATTAAGTTTGACCAATTAAAGTCAAATTATGAATTGGACAGAAAAAGTCAGAAATGGTGGCATCGTATATTATTTAAATTTTAGATGCCAATATAGTGAATTCTTTTATTCTCTATAAACTTTTAGGCAATTCCATAAACCATAAAGTTTTTCGAAGGCAAGTGATTGACGGATTATTGGCAAAAAAATTAGTTTTGTTCCCATCGTCTTAAGAGACGCACATCGTCTAATTCTAAGTCTAGTGTTACACTTCTCTATATAGCAAGAAATAATAACAGCGGTTTTATGCTGTAATGCTGACCGAAGTGAAAAATTAAAAGTATGGATAGTAGGAAAATCAAAAAACCCAAGATATTTAAATAAATTCGATCGTTCCCATTTGCCATGCCATTATACCGCGCAGAAAAATGCCTAGATAACTTCTGTAGCATTTCGAGAATGGCTTCTTCGTTTTCAACGCAACAAGGCAGCTCTAAACAGAAAAGTGTTGTTAACAATGGACAATTGTTTAGCACATAACGCTATGGGAATTGATTTGCGCAATGTTAAGGTCGTTTATTTTCCGGCTAACACAACAAGTGCACTGCAACCTCTTGATCAAGGCATAATTGCAGCTATGAAGAAACGTTATCGTGCACGACTTGTTAGTGCAGCAATTTTGTCAATGGAATTAAACCAAGAAAAGCCAAAATGGAATATTTGCAATAATTATGCGATTAAGCGATAAGAGCGTTGTCAGATTCGTGGTGTAGCTCGTTAGTAACTTTTTACTTATATGCTTTACTCATTGATAGGCTGAATTTGCTGATATAGAATTATCAACAAATCTTGTCAGTTCAACTGATACAAGTTAGTTTTATTGATTACATCAGCGTTGATGGTGCGATAACGACTACAGAAGCAGTAGACATAGACTTAGCAGTAGTGAATGTAGACCAAGAAACCGAAAAAAAAGAAGAAAGCGAAGAACACGATGAAGAAGAAGTTAATATAATAGCACCTTCAAGAGCTGAAGTTTTAGCCGCTCTCTATACGATCCAAAGGTAACACAAATATTATTAGTTATCCAACCATGTAATTATTAATATCACAATTTCAAGATTTGCTGATCTAGAAGAGAATGTTTTCGAAAATTTCATGGATTCTTTGAATAAAATTACTGAGCAATGCCTAAGACGAACAATGCCCATTCTGAGGCAAAAAATAATAAGTGATTATTTTCAAAAAAAAGTTCAAAATTAGCTCGTTATATCGAAAATACGAATACCTCCTTACCTCATTATAACGAACGGCTTGCTTTCCTCCCTGCGTGTTCGCTATATCGAGGGTTTACTGTAGTTCTACTTTTAGTTCAATAAAAATATACAACAATCTAGTGCTGAATAACAATTAAAACTACAACTACCTTCCTTGATTTATACATCGTATACAACTCGGGGAATACCCAGAGTTTATCTATGAACATTGAATAGAGCAATCTTGAGGAATAATCCGAGTTGTATTAGATAATATTAATAGTATGACTTAAAAATATGTTGTTCGTTATATCCGAAGTCTGTTCTAAGGAGGTCCGTTATATCGAAGTTTTACTGTAATTATATAATTTTTTTGAAACATATTTCCCAATAACGAATACGTAATAACGACAAAAAAACATAAATTTTTTACAAACACAAAAAAAAGACTTGATGAATCGATTCTACAAACACAACAACCACTCAACCATCGCTTATTGTTTTGGGCATGGTTCATATTTCAGTGAAAGGTTGAGGACGGATGAAAATTTTTCGGTCCATTCGCAAAAATCGTGGAATATGGAAATGCGAGGAATTTATCACAGGGATATCACCGGGGTGAAGTATCTATCGCATTACAGTTTACGATTGGCCGCGCTGGACTATAAATTCTCTTATTGTTTCTGTTCCTGGGGAAACTCGGTTCAGAAAATAAACGCTATTATAAATTTTATAGTCGCCAATGTAAATATGGGGGTCTCGGTGATCGCCGGGGGTGGTTGGGTTTGTCGCCCGATCGTTTGGTGATGCGTTGTTAATTTCATTAGTGGATCGATTAGTGTCATCAATCATTTGAGCACGTGAATCAATGAATCACGTCGAGCGGCGCGAAACGCAGAGTCGCCTGAAACAGCTGCTGTTTATTGATAAATGGTGCAAAATAACGTCACTAATTCACCTAGTTATTGTGCAAATTATCAAACCGTTCGTTCGCAGATGACACACACACAAAATAACAAAAAGTGAATTAAAAAACCGTGCTGACCGAGCCTGCATCAACACTTAACGTGAACTGCAGATTTATCGATATATACGTTTGGTTTTCGCACAAATCAAAAATGTTTTGCCCTCTATATTTATTTATTGTTGACCTACTCAGCAAACGCATATTAAACACTTTTTTATTGAACGTTTTTCTATTTCAACTTTTTTTTTCATATTTCATCTTTAATTCATCCCTCCATGTAATAATTCATGTAGATATCCCAGTGGATTTCAGAGAGGATTCATTTTACTTCCATAGTTAATACATCTCGCACCTTGTAATCTGCAAATTGCGGGCGATAGATGGCGCCGCGAGCCGCAATAATGAGATTAGTTTGCATAAATCAACACGACTGGGGCTTGCGGAGATCCGCGACTGGAACGTTGTTGCCATCGTTGGTCGTCGGCTCTCTCCCCTAACGTATGAAAATTTATAAGGTCCTACCAAAATCGACGTAATGGGAATATTGCGTTAAGTATACGGTTCGGCACCGGCCATGCGGTAAACTAATAATTCCCGAACGTGGCGGCCTTTTTACAGAGCAAGCGGTCGCGCGTGAAATTGAGACACTGCACACAATGCGGTGACGCCCCCGGAGCTTTATTTATCGCTTTCGCGAACCCCCATTCGACCACTCTTCTTTTTTTAGGAGGGTTGATCGAAAGTACCATTTTACTGACGTTGCATTTATAAATTGCAGACCATTCAACAATATGTGGCGGTTAATATTAGGGAAAAGGAAGAAAATTTTATATCATTTAAATATATAGTTTGAATATGACATTTATTACATGTATTTTAAGTCACACTTTTTTATTACAGAGGTAAGATATGTCAGAAAATGTAAAAATTAATTCTTTTTCATAACTGTATAGCATACAATAGAAATCGTCTGATGGCGTATATATGTATATAGGCTTGATCGATGCAAAATGTGTTGCAGAAGCGGAAAAAGGGGACACTTCTCTGGGGATTGGAAAGTAGAAGGAGAGATGTAAGATGAAGGTATCAATAAAACTTGGAAAATCAAAAAAAAAGGAAGAAGAAGAAGAATGGTTGAAACAGTGGAGGTAATAGTTGCTGAATAAAAAGATGATAAACTCGATAGATGGCCAACACGTCAAGTAACAAATGAAACTTGGAAAATCATTGCGACAAGTTTTGCATTCTGAAATAAAAATACATGAATATATGGATCAACCTAAAACTTAAAGGGACTTATAAAAGATTAATGTGGATAAGAAGAAGCATTAGTTTGGATAAGAGCAAGTCAGCAATAAATGTATACAGGGTCGACATCTTCGTGTGAAGGATAATCAAATTCTTTCTAAAATCTCCTCATTGGCTCCAATTTGTTGGCATTGTTGATTAATTCGTAGCTGCAGCTCCTCGAGGATATTCACAGTAGTATCATAGACTAATATTTTCAAATATCCCCAGAAAGAGAAGTCTAGAGGATATAAGTCAGGCGATCTTGCAG